ACGTCATCTCTCGCGGGTGGTTGTGCTCCAGGCCAGCAGGACAGGATCGGCACACTTCCAAACGTTTCCAAAGACTCGAGGGTGAACCCAAAGCGACCGGCACATGCCGCTCCATACGGAGGCCATTGGTACTCAGAGCAACAGGTGTGTCCTAAAAAGCTGCCCTGTTGGCCGCCTTCTCCAAAATGTCCACCCAGGGAGGGGGCTTGCTTCGCCCTTGCTGTTTTCATTGGAGCACGTGATTGGAGCACGTGATTGGAGCACGTGACGCACCGGCCCCCAACATCACACTACATGTCATGTGCCCCCCAGCGGCGAGACGTGGAACTTACTCTCTTCTTCCTCCTCGAGGTTCTGTTTTCTCTTCTTCCTCGATTTTGAGTTCTTTTTGTTCTTCAGGTCCTGCTGCTCCATGATGTTTTGCATTACTGGACAGCAGGTAAGAGGAAAACAACAGAAAGAGGGATATGTGCTGTTTGAGAGTCATCGCCGAAACATTTGGAACATTTAATGACATTAAACTGGAATGAAACACCCTTTGTTGCACTTGGCTGAATTTAACCCCAACGCTTTTCCCCGCTTTGTTTTTCTCATTTTTGTAACTGCATCCTGTTTGACTTGCTGTATTTAGGCCCAGACCCGCTATTAAGCTAGCAGAGAATTTCAGGCTACATGGGGCCCGCTGGGGACTCTCCATTCATTTCTATGGGCAAAACCCTAATCCCAGCAATGACGACCTTAACCCTACCCAGTCCCAACCTTAACCATAAGTAACCAAACACAATATGAGACTTCTGGCTATTTTAGCTTTTTGACTGCATTCATTTTTATAAAATTGAGGTTTATATTGTATGGATCTGAAAAATGTGGTTAAAAATAACAGGTTTGGCCCCCACAATGTGGTAAATACTAACATACACGCACACACACACACACACACACACACACGCACGGACACACACACACACACACACACACGCACGGCCCGGCACGCTCACTCATGTCGTCGCAGCGCGGCTCCAGGTGCCGCTGGATGTAGCCCTCCAGGTAGCGCCGGAACTTGGGTGACGGAGAGAAGAAGGCCAGGCTGACGGCCATCAGCTCCCAGCCCGCAGCTAGGCTGCGCAGACACAGGTTGTCGGTGGTCTGGCGCACCAGCTGCACGTAGAGCTCGTCCCGCAGGCCCTGCATGCCCCAGCACTTAGTGACGATGAGTAGCGCCACGTGGCGCCGGTCCAGACGGCTGGCCCGGTCGCCCATGTAGGCCTGCACCAGCTTGAACATGTCGCAGGCCTCCTTCTTGATGCCGCGGTCGCTGGTGATCAGCATGGGCTTCTTGATGGATCCGCGGTTCCAGGAGAGCATGTTGGCGATAGAGACACGCCGCCTGAACAGCCCCTGCGTGTGCAGGTTCAGGTTCTTGCTGGCCCAGTCCACCATGCTGGCGTCCGGCGGCGCCTTGCACATGCTGCCGTACGAGAAGTGGTAGTCGGCCCTGCCTTCTCCCGCTCCCACTGGCCCCGGGCCCCTGCGCTGGGCGCTCAGAGTGCCGCCGCAACCACTGTCGCCCCCTTGTGATCGGCTCTCTACCTGGCCCTTGGATTCCAGTGTTCCAGCCTAAAGACAGACAGAGAAACAGGAGGAAGAGGATGTTACCGGGGCATGGCCAAGGCTGGAGAGGAAGAACCGGGTGCAGGACGGAGGCTGGAATCAGAACAGGAGGCGGAGCCAATGCTGGCGTAAGAACAGGGGGCGGAGCCAATGCTGGTGTAAGAACAGGGGGCGGAGCCAATGCTGGTGTAAGAACAGGGGGCGGAGCCAATGCTGGAGAGTATGAATGGGGGGTGGGGTAAAGGCTAGAGAGGCAAAATTGGGGGAGGCGCTGGGCCGTCACTGATGGGCAGTAGTGATGACAAGGTGGGGCTGGCAGTGACTAACAGGCAGTGTCACAGCACCTTGCAGGCCTGTCGCATCATTCATCTGTCTCAAGCTCCAACAAAACAGAGCTCAGGGCACAGAAGTATTAGACTGCTTCAGTCCCCAAACAAGCCACTAAAAATGGAAAGTGCATCTGAGAGTCCCTATAAAGGATTTTTAATGGTGGACAGTCCACAGAGGACAAGAAGGTACCTGCACAGGTCCAGCTTTGAACTGAAGAGGAGATTTGGTTTCGATTGTCTCCACCCCAGTTGCATGATAATGTCCGAACTACATTTGAAGAACCATACAACTCCCACAGAGCAGCCGATGACCTCAGTGATGACACAATCAGGGGGATAGACTGGGAAACATGTACTTCCCTTTGAAGTAACAATCATGTGCGTCATGGTGCTGATGAACACCTGGGACACCGTGAACCGCTTATCCACCGACAGATCACACCCATTGGTATTTCATACGCCGCACACTGACTGCACGTAAGGCAGCCACCGTCCTCGATGGAAAAACGGGCTCACGACAACCTACAGCTTGAGGAGACACCAAGGGCAAGCGAACCCTGGAAACAGCAGGAGACGTGAGTGAAAGTCTGCCGGGTCTCGCAGAGGCAGCCTCCCCCTTCCCGTAATCTCTGCTGCAGACGGGGCACCTTGGGGGCTATTAATGACAGCCGGCCGGGCCAGGGACTCAGAGTGTGTCCAGAGAGTGCCTGACGACAAGCGGGGGCCCTTAGCACTGTCACCTACCGTTAATCTGACATCCAGGCGCCCCCCCCACTCAGCAAGCCTGAGAAAAACCAAAGACACTGCAGCCACAGTCTCCCTACCCCTAGCACCAACTGCTCTTAAACAGAAGGGGGCGCCATTCCAGGACTCCTCCAGTATACTCACACACACCACACCCACATAAACTGTCAGACACTGTAATATCTGTGATGCAGCTGGAATCCTGTCCAGTATGTCACCTGCCTCCTTGCTGGCTCCAAGGTCATTGTGACCCAAGACTGGACACAAATCAAAGGACAGACTGATGTCTGTTATGTTTCTGGGCACGCCCCCCCCCCCCCAAGCAGCCAATGGGAAAGGCTGGTTTGGTTTCCGCAGAGCCCTAACCCACCCGCCGTTTCCGGCTGACGCACTGAGACGGGGGTCTCACTCGAGAGCTCGGAATTTTTGCGATTTCCTGGGTACATTAGCGCCTCTTCCTTCGGTGGTGAATCAGCGCTGTGTCACTTGGTGAGCATAGTGGCGTTCACTGTGTTTGTGTTCCCATGTCTCTTCCTCAGTCACATCTCTAAAAAAACGCCTGCATTTGCTTTTCATTCAGTCAGGGGTCTGTCTGCACGCCGCTGTGCCAAAATCAGGGCTGTGCCTGCAACTGGCACTCGGGAAATATCCAAGTGGTTCTAACTCTGCACTGCACCGTTTTTGAAAAAAAAAAGCAGCTGAGGAGAAAGAGTACCAAGCACACCGAGACGATGTGGGGAAAAAGGTACTTTAAGGTTTAAGTCCACAATGCAGGTTCACTAATGTTCTAGCTCTGACTTGCAAGGTGAATTTCAGTCCCACAGCAGTGACAGTGGTGCACTATCTGCTGTTGGCTGGATTTGTTCTAATAAACCTAACAAACCAAACCCCCCCCCCCCC